AGATCCACCTCCAGTTGCCTGCAGTCCTGCTGCAGTCCCACGAAAATGCCCGTTGGGGCGAAGATTTGTACATACATGTAAGAAGTATGCGTCATTTGTGTTACCGCGTGGAAAATCTATTCATGAAGCTCTCTCTTCACATAGAGTAGTCTAATGCGGAGACTACGATGCATGCATTTAGAAAAAATAATTACAAACACAGGACCTCGATATATATATATATACCCAACAGGCATGAATGGCTCTACTGTATGTAGTCTGTCTTACTCGATCGAGCCGAAACGCCGAAACGCCCTTGTTTTTGGCATTGTTGCGGACAGTTCGGAGATTATTGATTTTTCGATTATGATGAAGTTACAGCAGTCTAAATCATTTACAGCAGTAGATTATGATGTGTAGATGAGTCTTGAAAACCTAGACACAAGAGATGTAGCATATGTAGAGACAGACGCATACGTATGTTTTTGTACAGACAGGAGATAGACTTGTCCGCAGCAGCAGTCTCTTCGTCGACGTGGGATGACACAGCATCAACAATGGTGTCCGGTACTCTCGGGTTAGGCACAACGTACGGACATCAATTAATTTATTAATTTAGATGTCAACATTTGCAAGATGTGGGGATCTCGGCGGATCTTGGACTGCTATACGTTGATGCGTTGATCGTTGAATCGTTGGGTGGGTTCTGGTTCGATCGACATGGAAAAATTTACAAAAAAATGCCGTTGGGGTGAGTGGTTGCACACCGTTGGAAACATGCAGCACCGACAACTAACTACAATCACAGTGAGCACACTTTCGCTTGCCACGCCAGCTGCTATATATAATGGGCCTCTCCGCCCTCTCTCGCCGGATCTCGTGCCCCGCCGCCGGCTCATAACCTCTTGTCTGTGTTAAGGTGTAGGTGATGTCGTATGCTATGAAAATTCAGCCGGTCTCCGTCGGTGTAATTAGCGCCCTTATTGAAAGAGTCAGTCAGCAAACGAAAAATACGCATCCTGGACATCAGAAGACTCCATGCACATGGGTGTGCAGTCTATACAATATCTATTGTCAGCAGCAGCAGCAAGCAGCAGCATCAAGGGTTGTTCCCAGTGCCAGTTAGTGGATTTACTATGGAAAAAGAAGACATGTGTGGCTTCGCTATTGTACTGCACGCACATCCTAAGCTGATGACCCACAGTTGACGAGAATCGCTTTTACCTTTTATCTCCGGCGGAGACGAACAGTCAAATTATTTATTCTGTGTTCGTCCACCTCAAAACAAACATGTTTTGCTACCCTTCCTTGATCGGCCGTTGGATCTTGGGCGATAGTAGATAGCTGTTCCGTGGAAATGCGAAGACAAAAGCCCGCAGGGTCGGCAGCCTTCTTGGCTGTACATGCATGCTGCGTGCATGGGGTAGGTAGTGTATCGTGTATCATGAGTGCTATAGAGGCTGCTGCACGTACCTGGCTGGGTAGTATTGCCGAAGCACGTGCGATCAAAGTGCAAGTGCAGCGACTCCACCTCCTTGCAATTTTAGAAACCCTGTGTCCGGCGGCTTGTTGTGGAGCAGTATTGTTTTATGCGTGCATGCATACATAGCATCAGTCATCTTGGAGTGTATGTATGCGTACCTCTTGATGATGCATACCAAAAAGAATGCCTGAGGAGGGGGCCATCACTCCCCTTCCACCACCCGCGCCTGTGTGCCTCCGCTCTCGCCTCCACCTCTGCTATAGGTGCATGGTTCACAGGCAACAGAGGACCCTGGTGTGTGTTTCGATACGTATCTCTCTTGGTCACCGCTTTCTTACGTTCGCTCCATCTATCTCTCGCCCCCGTGAGGAACTCTCTTGAAAAAAAAAAATAATGTCGGCACACACACAGCAAAGGCCACAGCCCTGGGCGGACCACAGAAGGCCTTTTTTTATTATTTTCTCTGTCCTCCGTTGTTGTTGTCATCACAAAGACGACTGCTCCGGTACGTAGATAGCCCGGGTGGTGTGTCTGTCTTCTGTCCTCTCCCCAACCTCCCCCCCCAACCGACCCCTGCGGATGCGCGCGAAGCGCAGAGGAGTACTACGATATCGCGCGCAAGGAAAGGAGCAGACAGACTCACGCCGGCTCTCAGAGGGCGCGGATGGAGGGAGCCGTGACCCCACCCTCCCGGGAGGCGATGCAGCTCGAGGAGGGGGATGAGCTGATCTTGGGGGACCACTACTGGATGCAAGATGACTCTGGCAGCGAGGTTTGGAGGCTGGCCGAGGTGCTCGAGCGGGGAGAGGGGGGAAACGTGACCATAAAGCTGGAGGGCGGGGCGGTGATGGAGGTGGACCCGGTGAGTGTTCGTAGCTGAATTCCAACAACGGCAGCAGCATGCGTTGTTGTAGAACCTCGCTCAAATCTCGTGTCTCAAAAACACCCATTACGATCGTAAAGAGACGTCGATTTATCGCTGCTGCTGCTGCTGTGCGCATACCTGATACCTGATGGATTGTCGCGGTACGTATCGAGCCGAGCTGGGGTGCGCGCCATGGCTTTCCCGGCAGCGTGCTCTTGTCACCTCGAAAGAGAGCGGTGAATTTGTTTGACCGCCTCGTGCTCTCGGAGTAGTAGTGTTCGTCATCGTGTGAACACAGACAGCGGCGAGAGACGCTTATGGCCCTCTCTCCCCCAGCGAGAATCTCGCAAGCACCTTGTAACCTCTCTCTGCTGTTCAGCCGCAGACCGCAAAAGGGACTGAAACGCGGACCCCAGCCCCTTTCATCTCAGGTCCAGCTCTTCTTCTTGTTGTCTCCAACCCAACATGGCCTCTTGCGAGTTCCGACACAGCCGGGGAACCTAGCCCCCATCGGGCTGGTACGTTTTTACGACACACCGTACGTACGGCCGCACCGCACTTCTTTTTCGGTTTGGCAAAAACAAGCGAGTGCTTTGTGTTCTCGACTGCTGCTGCCATCATCGTGAGGAAGGGTATTCGAACGTAGTAGCGCGCCGTAGGGCCGCAGCAGCAGTTTCAGCAGATGCCGGGTACTGCCAGGCACAGGTACCAACCGGCGCTCATGCAGGCGAACACGCGAGGCGGCGATGCAGCAGCACAACCCCCCGATCGCCGTTGGCCTTCTCCGTTCTCCGGGGAAAAGGAAACCGCTGCCCCTGGCGACAGCACAACCAGGAGCCCGGCTGCCCCG